GTCGAGAAGGTCAAAACCATGGGTTCTCAAATATTACTCTAGCACCTAGGCACTTATCTCATGAAGGGTACCATTCTAGGGTGGGGTTCTATTTAGGGTTGATAATTCGTCTAGCAAACAAACAGATGAACCGAGGCTTTAGCTTTCCTAAATGAAAGAAGCTTAAGTTATTAGTCAAACTATACTTTTCTCGTCAAATGAAATGATTCTCGAGATTGAGAAGGATTTAGAATCGGCCCAATCAAAGCACCTCACTCAAAGAGAAGAAAAAGTCCATGGATTCTAGCTACAAGTCACATTGAATGAAGTCTTTGCACATTGAATAAGAGGAAAATTTTCTCATGGGAACTATCGAGAAGCTCAAGAAAAACCTTTAGGAGGAGCGCAAGAATGGATTTCTATCCAGAGAATAAGGTTTTGAAAAATTCAAAGAACAAGCTTTCAGCCTCTACCATAATCTCGAACTATCATAACTGGATTATTTCATGGTGGTGGTGGATGAATGCCTTGTGGACGAAGTTGATCCAGAGCCAACCCCCGACTCTGTTCCTTCTCCAGAAGCTGGAATCCTCGCCATATATCAGCCACCCAAATATATTAATTCTGAGGTGGTTCAAGATCTTCAAGGTAATAATACTGCTACATACGCCCCCGAGTCCTAGGAGTCTCTTCAAGCTGGAAACCTCAGATCTGTGATGGTGCAATCGGTCATCTTGACCACATCACCATCAAACCTCTTTTGAAGGAGTTTCTTTTGACCATGTCGACAACGAGTGGTTCACAACGGAGGTTTCTTTTTCATCAGCATTTTTGTGGTTGTTTTAGGTTCTCCAACACTGTCAGTTACGTCAACTTCTCCGGTGGATCTATTTAATGATTGTGGTTTTACCACAATCGCGTCTTTGTGTTTATGGTGCATGTTTGGTGTCCTTACCTTTTAATCTTCAGATTGTTTTTAGATTTTTTGAGTTTGTAGATTTTGAGTTTTAAAGTTTGCCTCTTTTACACTGGTGTTAACTTTATATTTGTATCAGTCATCGTGATTGGTATCATATTGAGTGAATACCAATATCCTTTTTTGATGTTGGAATGTCTGGCTCAAAAGAGTAGTTTTGCTTACTGTTTTTATCACATAGTTCATGTGGTGTGTTGATATAGGAAGTTGTAAGGATGTCGACTTGTTTCCGTGTTGGCGGTTAGGTTCATTCACAGTTTTTTCATATCTGAATTCTGTTCTTATCCGTTCAAAAAATAACTATCTTTTACTATTTGGTTTTGTGTCCGCATGCGATTTGTTGGATTGTACTTGTAATGCATGTTTCTTAGTTAAGAATTTAGATCTAGATTTTTTTATCTACCCTTTAAGAGCATCTTTAATGCAGGTTTTTAATAGTTAAATTTTTTATTGTTAACGATAATTATAAAGAATTTGCGTTGAAATGACTATGACATGACATTTAATTCACTAACTTTTAGTTTTCGGCAATTATATAGCTAACGTTTACTATTTATTTTAAAACATATAATATTATTATTTATATTATTAAAATAATTAAATTAATGGTAACTTCAATAAAAAATAATTACAATTAAAATTATAAAATATCGGGCCAAGTTTTAGTTTTTTATAAGCAACTATCGTTAAAGTAAAAATAATTCAAATCAACTATAAAGTTTTTAAATCCTACAAATCACTTTGGACCCACGAAAAATATCTTAGTTTACCCAATTAAGATACTTCCACTAAAGATGCTCTAAGATAACTCTGTATTACCTTTTGGTTGAATGTTTTTACTGAATTTTAATTTTTGTCCCCCAAGATCTTTTATACTTTGCTTTTTATTTTAATCCATTTTTAATTATTTAAAACAAATGGGTCCTAATTTTGAGCTTTTTTCTACAACTTTCTATGTACGAAAAGATTATTAACTTAAATAAATATTTCATTGTCTTAATATTAATATTATACAAAAAATCAATTTTAATATAATGTTCCCAAATAATGAGAAATAAATATAACAAAATTAACAAAAAAATTTATATGTTAGAAATATTATTTTTTCTAAAGGCAAATGAAATATATCGAGAATACAAGGGGTATTCTAATCCTTACAATCAAAAGAAAAATAAAATTTGCAACCAACACTACTATACCAAAACCCTAAACAAGATTCATAGAAAATGCATGAAAATTAGAGTTGGAGTATGAAATCTCCCCAATACATCCCCATTTCCAAACAAATAATTTGACATTCCAACAAATATTGATTACACTACAATTCCCTACATTAAAAATTATGTTATTTCTCTCATTCCATAAAGCCCATAAAACAGTTAGCCATATAACACCTCTAATGAAATTACCTTTTGAACATCTTCCATCTCCACTCCAATCTAAGAAATGATCCATAACACTCCCACTAAAACTAACTCGATTCCCGCACCAGTCTCCAACATTCTTCCACACCACCCTTAAAAACTTGTAGGTAAAAAACAGACGCTCTAAGTCTTCTTCTACTAAATCATACAACCCACACAATGATTCCACGAAAATACCTCTCTTAATCAATCGATTTTTAGTAGGAAATCTATTCCAAAAAACTTTTCACCCAAAAGTTTGATCCTAGCTGGAACTCTAATTTCCCAAAGCCACCTGAAAGCCTTCATTCGCTTCTCCTGCATAAATTTACTTGAAGACCGATTTTTCATTAAATGGTATGCTTCTTTGATAGAAAAATAATTGTACTTTTCCTCCTCCCAACGCACGTCATCCTCCCCTCCCATGCTTAGGCTGATGCCATTTATAAATGAATCAAAAGAAAATACTCCTCATTAACCGAATCCTCCCCCTGGAACCTAATTCCCAGATTACACCAATTCTAAGCCCCCTCATTCCAAATCCTCATTTCCTCAACCATTGCATCCTTCTTAGTGCAGACTTGGAACAAATTCTGAAAAACCTCAGCAAGAGGAACTGTACCCACCCAAACGGACGACCAAAAGGGAGTAAACCTGCCATTTCCCAACACAAAACTCACAGGTTTCGTAAAATTAAAATCACCTAATGTCGAAATTACTCCACTATTCAAAATATCTTTCCACCAACTTGAAGAAGAATTTCTAATAATAACATTCTCCCTCAAAACCCGAGAAGACACATTGTCGTATCTAGCCTTAAAGACCTTTCTCCAAAGCCCGTTAGATTCACTTAAAATCCTCGATTTTCACTTTGATAATAAAGACAAATTAAATTCTTTGATACTTTTTATGCCAAGCTCCTTCAAAGCATTTTCTCTACAGACTATCTCCCAATTCAGCCAATGAATCTTCGACTTCTCTTCTTTACTTCCCCATAAAAAGCTCCTCATAATTTTATCAATCGCAATCCACACAGCCGTAAGAACCTTATAAAAAGAAAATAAGAAGGCTTGAAAGAGTAGAATTAATCATTGTAACTCTACCTGCCATGGACAACAAACAACCTTTCCAGCCAACTTTACTTTTATCTTCTCGATCAAAGGTTTCCACGTTGATATCCTCCTCGGATTACAACAATTGGAATACCCAAATATTAAACCCACCTGTCTCTACTTTGCATGAAATGAAAAGTTGCATATGCCAATAAGAAGTGCTTACTAACATTCAACCCAATAAGTGTGCTTTTTTAATAATTTACACCCAATCCCGATGCAAGTTCGAAGCCTTACAATATAGCTTTAATGGCCCAAATATTTTTCCATCCTCCTCCTCCCACGATCAAAGTGTCATCAGAAAATTGGATAACATCAACTGAAGTTTCAGAATTTATCTTACAACCAGAGAACTCGCCGATTTCAGAAGTCCTATTAACCATCCTCGTTAAACCCTCTGCAACAATCACGAACAAGAACGACGAAAAGGGATCACCCTGCATCAAATCTCTCTTAACTTCAAAATCCTATGTTGGACTTTCATTAACTAATATTGATAAGGGTCCAGAGAAGATACACTCATATATTCATTTTAACCAAAGCTTTTCAAATCCCATTTTGATCATCAAATACCTACATAACTTCCAATTAACACAATCATAGGCCTTTTCGAAATCAACTTTGAACAAAACACATTCCTTATTTTTCCTTATAGCTATGTCAACCACCGCATTTGCCACAACAACACCATCCAGCAAATTTTTTCCAGAGATAAAAGATGACTGATTATGAGAAACCAACCCACTAATCACCCTTTTAAGCCTAACAGCTGGCAGTTTTGAAATAATTTTTAGAAATATTATTAATTTTCAATTTCTTTTTCATTTATACTCAATTATAAAAAATACATATTTATTTAAACAAATAAATCGAAATCAATAATAAATATATAATTTTAAACATTTATATTATATTTATTATTGAAAAAATTAGTTGCTATCATTCAATATTTATTTCTAATATATAAAATCAATAGCATTATATTGTTTTATTTTTGAGAGTTAATATATATATTATTTTTAATAAAATATTAATAAATATGACAAATATTTATCAATCATACATAATTGTTTATTCATTTTTAAAAATATTAATTGATAAGATAAAGAAAAATAATTGAATGAAAATGTATTAGAATAATAAATATAGCAAATAAAATGAATTTTTTATTAACTAATTGGAATAGTTAAAAGTCATTGATAAATATCAGTGAAATTAAGATAAATAAAGAAATAAAAAACAATTAAGATTAAAAAGAAAAAGAAAAAAAAAAAACAGAAAAGGTTTTGGAAGCTACTAGAAATAGAAAGAATGGTAATTAAATGAACGTTCCTTTCTAACTTGAAAGCACTTGAAGTTTCGACTTTCGAGTAACACCGTGTTTCTCTCTGTTGTTTCATTTCTCTTGAATCTTCCAGTTTCTTCTTCCCTCTCACCCTTTAAATACTCCAATTCACAACTTCTGTTGCAGAAAACATTGAAAATCATTTCATCAAAGTAGGTAAAAAAATTCAGAGGAAGTGTACGAAGATGGATTTGAGATTGGTAGGTTTGGATGCTCCAGTATTGCATGCTTTACACCAAATGATGGACCTTTCAGACGACAACTATTCGGACAAGTCATCATCACACAATGCTCCGACACGGTCGTACGTTAGAGATGCGAAGGCGATGGCTGCAACTCCGGCGGACGTGAAGGAATATCCAAATTCATACGTGTTTGTGATCGACATGCCAGGGTTGAAATCTGGTGGCATAAAGGTTCAGGTGGAGGATGATAACGTGCTTGTGATAAGTGGTGAAAGGAAGAGGGAAGAAGAAAAAGAAGGTGCAAAGTATTTGAGAATGGAGAGAAGAGTTGGAAAATTTATGCGGAAGTTTGTTCTTCCTGAAAATGCTAATACAGATGCTGTTTCAGCTGTGTGTCAAGATGGGGTGTTGAGTGTTACGGTTGAAAAATTGCCTCCTCCTCAACCTAAGAAACCTAGAACTATTGAGGTTAAGATTGCTTGAAAGTGTACTTGTTTTTGAAAATTTGAATAATATCGATGTCATGTAATGTGTGTTGTTAGAGTTGGGGTGGAGGAGTACAAGGTTGTTTTGTATTTTACTTATGTTTTGTTTTTGGAATTATTGGTGGAGTTATTTTGATTTGATGCACCACGAGGATGTTTGTATTTTACTCAAAGAGACACCACATTCTCAATGAATTTTAATTCGGCTTATATGTAGTAATTCAAATATGGGTATATTCGGGTGTTTATGCGAGCTTCCTTTATAAGTTCAGAAGTTGATTAGTCATCATTTAATTAATTTTATTCATTTTATTATTAATTATTATTATGTTAATTATCTGTATTTGTTTTTTTATACTTAATCTGTTCCTTCCAGCAATGAAGTGTTTATTTGATAGTAATGAATTTGAGTTGGTTCAGACAACTTCGAAAAATAAGTGTTTATTTGATAATGAGTTTGAACTTGTTCAGACAACTTCGAGATAAAGTGTCCTTGATTTGTTGCTCTAAATATAATATTGGAGTGATATTTTGTTGACAGAAATGATATTCCTACATTTAAATATGACACCGTACTTTTATTCGATTTGATTCTTTTTGATATATTTAATAATTATTTTTCATTTTTTTCAATATTTTGCTGAATTTTACACCGTATAGTCCTACGGTGTAAGAAATGTGGTGTGAGAATAGCGATTCTCATTTGCCGAAGGTGTCACTATTAGATATGAGGTATATACAAACTAAAAAAAGCTTGTGTGACCTGACACTAAGTTGTACACTTATATTGTATGTGTTTTTTTTTTTTTATATATTTTTTTTATAATTTAGTTAATATATGAGGGTAATTTAATAATTTTGTTTTCACTGCTAGGATAAAGTAATTGAGTGGCTTTATATGTCTCACTCAGCGCTGCATATGTTTCAATATTTTTTTCAAAAAAAATTCTCTCTCTTACTTAGATATTGTATATCCCGATCGCTCTTCACGCAACGATGATACTATTCACACAACGACGGTGTTATTTCTGCGACACAAGTTCTCTCTGCTCTCATTACATCGTAGTTCGACGACGACACTCTCACTTCTCACTGAACGAAATCATTAGTATCTCAAGATTAGATGTTCTTCTCACATGAAAATGCGTTTCTTTTTAATTTTTTTTTGAAATTCTGTTTTTTAAAAAGGAAAAGTGAAAGAGAATTAAGGTTTAGGGTTTTTTCTTTTTAAGTTATTGTTATAGATTTCTCAATTCCAGGTTGTAATATATTTTTCTTAGGTTATTGATAGTGTTTTTATTTGATTTTGGATTGTTTAGGCTGCGTACTTTATTGCTGAAACTTTAGCATTACCAAAAAATTTAAATGAATTGTGTAAGTAATCAAGTTTTTATTTGTTTTGTTATTCTGGTTGGAATGTTGGATCTTATTTATCAGTGAAATTAATCAAGTTTTTTTTCGTGAATTTAAAATACGAATGAGGCATAGTTGTATCCAAGTAAATTTGAGCATCATCAATGAAAAATTAACACCAGCTCAACGAACCCATATCGAACACCCCATTCAAACGGGCAATGAATATTTCTAACAACTTCTCAATCTCAGGTGGTTTATTATGGGAGTTAGTAGGTATGTCCCACACATAGTAGGGGATTTAGGGTTAGAGATATGATAGTTCCCTTAACTCCGGTTGATGTTTGTTCTACGCTTATGTCTCTAATACTAGAAAAAGACCAACAAAGTCAAACATTAGATCTATTTAAAGGGGCTGAGGTTAACATTCCCAATATTTGCAAACAACTTTGTTCCCACAAGAAAAAAATTAGGTAATTTTGTTAGAATTTATATATTACTTGCATTTGCAGAGTTTTACTTTTCCAAAAAAGGAAATAAGGTCTTTACCGGATTTATTAAGCAATTGGATGATCTTGACTCACTTGATACATTTAGTTGGGGACTTACTGTTTATAACTTTGTAGTTTCTAGTTTATGTGAGTCTTCGGTTGTGTTGAAGGAGGAAAAAACAAGGCACAAAGACATTTAAACGGATGTGCTGTCATATTGCATGTAAATAGATTATATAACTTTATAGTTTCACATGTGTTTTGAATATTTAAAATTTTGAAATTTATATCTTCTAATATTTGTTATAGATTTGGTCATTCAACCACTTATTTTTGAGAAAAACACCTGTTGTTTCTAGATTTTTGTTTCGTGTTGTCGTGTGTTTGAATTGATTATTTTTTTTGTTAGATAATTGATAGAGTGGTTGCAACAGAGGAACAACTGAAATATGACATAGTCAATGCTGCTTTGTTTTAACAAGGACAATAATTTGTGAATGTGTATGATTATCAAAGATTGGTGGATGAGAATAAAGATTTCAAAGAGATGATAACAGTTCTTGAGGAGGAAATGAGAATGATGAAAGAGGCGAGAGTTAACACTCCGTTTCAGGACGAGAATGTTCAAGATGATCGACAACTTGTGAGCTTTATCACTGAAGATGAAGTATGGACTTCAGTAGTCTCTTCTGACTCAAAATGTCAATTATGACACAAAAACTGCACATAAAATGTCAATATTATGTATAGTATAAATTTATAACAACATTGGTTAATAGAGTTCAAAATTATGGTTAATATTGTCTATAATTTGGTTAATAAACACCTAGACATATGGGCATGTTTATAACATTGTTTATTATGAAGTTGGTTAATGGTGTAACACAAGTTGGTTAATATATTTTCCAAATTGGTTAGCAAATCAACATGAGTAATGGTATGAAATCGTTTAGTAGTATGTAAACATGGTAAACTGTGTGAGCAAAGTAAGACAATACTCTTTAGAACATGGTTAATGAATAATTGTGAATAAACATGAAATCAATAACAGTAAAGAAAAGTAGGTTAATATTGTGTTAAATCTAAAGACATATGAACAATCGTGAATAAACATATGAAAAAAGAAAAACATTCATATTATTGGATGAATATAGAAACTTACTGAGTTAAATCTTCATCTTCATAACATAATGATGCTAAATAAATTTATTTTTTTCTTGCTATAACTGGATGAAGATGAAATGAAAAGAAAAGTTGGAGAAGAGATGAGAAAGAATGGCGTGAATGATCAAGAAGAAGAAGAATGAGTTAGAATACTTTATTTTATAAAGTACAACATACATGTGGTTGAGGTTAAAAGAGATAGAAACAATATATTAACTTTTCTGCTATGGCCCACATAAGAAAAGGATGTTCAATATCAAGTGCCAAGCTTGTACACTTTTTTATCACTGTTCATATACGATGTAGGTGTACAACTTGGTGTAAAAATAACAAAAGTGGTCTTAATTTGACATCAATGGTTTCATATAATAGAAGTTTTCCTAGAGTTTATGGAGACATAAACTCGTCCAGGTACACAATTAAGTATAATTTATTCTGTCATCTATGATTTATTTATTTGATAATTCGTTTTTAGTTATTTTTCTGATCAGGCTTTTTTCTAAAGAGAGTTCATGTTTTTTCTCACAACCCTAGAACATTTTGACGTCTTTGGTCTAATGTCATTATAGAATTATACCATAAGTGTCTTTTCTTTTATTGGGCTGTGTAATTTTGGACCATATCCATTCCTGGGCTTTGATATTAGGTTTGTTCAATAAAAGTAATTGTCACTAAAGTCTAGTTTGGAGTAGCTGAGGTGTGGCATGTGATCTTATATCATCCTTATCTTTACCCTCGTGGTTTAGATCCTTCTAGCTTTTATATATTCTCAACTGGTCCCCTGTCTCATCACTGAGGTTTGTAGGTTAGGGGTGCGGAATTTCCTAGGTGTTAGGCAGAAGTAATTTGACGTGGAAAATGTATCTATTTAGTATATTTTGGTCTTTTTTTGTTTGCTGCTTCGAGTATAAAGATCTTTTATAAACATCACTTCTTTTATTTGTTCTTGATTTTCCGCTTTCTTAGAACTCGACGTTTTATTCTCTTCTTATTTCTCCGTCCTTGTATTTATTTCTTGTGGTGAAGTTTTTTTAGTGAATTTTCTTTACTTATTTTTTGAAATTTTGTTGCATTTTTTTTTTCATACTTTTCAAAGGTGTAGATAACTCCCTCTTTTGGTGATGTTCCTTTGGAGATTGGATTTTTAGATTTCTGAATAATGTTTGGTGAAAAATATAATATGGCAGGATTTAAATATATGATTCTTCTTTTATGAATTTGTTGGGTTTAATCATTTAGCTTATAACTTAGAAACTAAAGTTTATAATTTATTTAGAGGTTTCGAATGTAAAAACTTTATACATACATAGCTTTTAGGGGAAAGATGTTAACATATACTTTTTTCTGGGAGAAATAGTTGTGGGTGATTCTTTGTGTTTTTTCCTAGTTAATTTATAGTTTTAAAAAATATTGATCAACCGATAGCTAACGCAAAGAAAATGTATCTAGGTTGTGGATCCTTTTATTTGAATCCCAAAACGTTGAAAGAATTTTATTTTCATAACTCTTTTGGAAAAAAAACAAAGATTGGCAACAATCCTTTCTAACTTAAATGATCGTTAATGCTATTCATTTGAACAGATAATATCTTCACTAGAGCACACCCAAATAGAACTTGGTGTCTGCTCTGATGCCAATTGAAATTTTGTTTCTTATAGGATAGATGTTAGACCAGATGTCTGGGATAACTTGTCCAACTAGCTATCCCATAATAAACACACTAAAACAAGTTAAAAGCAATAAATAACACAAAAACTGTTAACTCAGTTCAGTGCAAACAATACCTACATCTGAGAAGGCATTCTACTCAAGAAATAAAATCCTCTCTTTAATATAATTAGTACAAAGTGTCTTAGATGAACAATTCCCTTGCTTAATGTCCCTCTTCTGAATTCTACCCTTACTGTCTTTCTATTTAGGACCTCCATAAATATGAGAACTCCCTATCACTTTCTCTTAATCACTAATCCTAGTGATTCAACAACATCAG